CTTAACCACGATCTCAGCAGGCAAACAAAATTTCGGAAAAATCATATCTGCACACTTCTGTTGACTTGTTAGACTGCTGTAGCTTGCAATATGACGCGATTATTGCAAATTTTAGGGGTAGGCCTAATGCGAATTGGTGCGTCATGCTATGAAAATGGCGACAAGGTTGAAAACGGGTTGTTTTTTTAATGCGCTATATAGAGCAAAACCATTCAATGGACTTATCTAAAATACATATTTAAAAAATTCGTTTTGGCTTCCAAACGTTATGTTCAAACCTGAAACGCAAAACTTCAGTATGGAGGAAGATATTTACAGAACAAGTTGTAAAGGTTTTTTGGATCATTGTAGACAACATCTGCTGACTCGCAAGCTTCCAAGTTTAAAACAGAGCTTTACTTTTTTTTTTTATCTTTGTTTTTAACTCCTCTTCCCACAAATGATGACGGGACGTTCGCTTTTCTTTTAGGTTTCAGAACTGATGTGAACTTTAAAAAAAAAAAGTAAGTTTATCTCTCTTGGCAGGAAAGAAGCGATCTATGCTTCATTAACCCTTTAACCTTATCCGTACTCCCTGGAGTCATTTAGTACCCCCGGGGTTGTATTCTTCACATTTTGGAATACTTCTAGTACGGACGCCTCTTTGAAACTTTCAGTTTTTCTCAAAAAATCATTTTGACAGACTGCTATGCAAAGCGTACGGGTCGGATTAACAAGTAAATTTCCTTTTTGGAAAGTGGTGGCACAGAGTTCCCCACGTCGTATGGATACGATAGTAAATCACGACGTACGGATAGGGTAAAGTGGTGGCACAGAGTTCCCCACGTCGTATGGATACGATAGTAAATCACGACGTACGGATAGAGTTAAGATATCTCCTCAAAATTCAAAGAATGGTTAGAAGTATAATTAAAAGCAGCTATACAAAAAGACATATATAAATATATATATATATATATATACATATATATATATATATATATATATATATATATATATATATATATATATATATTTATTTTTTTTTTATATTTTTTTTAATATAGATATATATATATATATATATATATATATATATATATATATTACAAGGGACAATATTATACCCCATTATATTATACAATTGTTGTTTAACTCATATTGTTGAACATGTTAGCTAGTTATGAAAACAGACTTTCTGTCTCCCATGTGCCAGAATATAGGGTTAAGAATCACCTCACATTTATTGAACTAGTCCAGAGTACAGATGTCACAAGTGCCTGGCGTGTAACCCCGCCCAGAAGGACTATAAATGTCCACTCACACATCCACAGAATCACATCTCCCAGATATCATCTCTCAGGTACTACTGATGGTTTGTTCTTCCGACTGTTTGATGCCTTCGTTATGGTTGCAATACGCTACCTCAAAATTACAAGTTTATACCTAAATCTAAGTCATGCTGATGTCAAAATCAATTGCCAAAGACAAATTAATCGAAGCAAACATTTGTAATACACCATTATGCTTATTCTCCCAAGTGCTACTAGCAGGCAGGAATCATCAACACCATCACGTATATAATACAACATGATACGCGGTAGACCACTTAATCACAACAACCTGTTCTTGGAGTGCGCAAGCAAAGATCGTATATAACAAGATAGTTCACTCGGACAAAAAAGGGTCAGCGGAAGTCCGTGCACACAGAATTCTGTGTCCGTGCATTGGACCAGAGGGCGCTGTAGTCTTTGTTTTGAAGCTGTCTTTCGATTCTCCAGAAGAAGAATAGGAATAGCACAGTTTGTTATTTTCACTTTTATTGGTTTTCACACAAGTAGGGTAACTCTGATCGCAAAGTTCACCCCTTTTTTTTCGAAGAGGGCGCCACTGCATTTTGAGGACACTTTTTAATTGGCTCAAAGAGAGGAGTGAACTAAATAATTTTGTTATGTCCGATATTTGGCACAAGGCAAGAACGATAAATCTACGAGGATGTGTTGTCGATTACTCAATAAATCCAAGGATTCTGAATAACAAGATAGTTCACTTCTCTGTTTGAACGAATTTAAAAAAGTGTCCTCAAAATCCGGTGGCGCCCCCTTCGAAAAAGCGCGCGCTTTGCAAAGAAATTTACCCTACTTGTGTGGGGAAAAATTAAAATGAAACTAACAAGTTTTTGTGTAAATGATAATTTAAATTTCGGAATAACACCTTTTTAAATGGTTACGCTGACAAAAATCCTCTTCAGGTGGAAGGGGCGACTGTTTTCTTCTTTTAATTTGGCTTTGGAACGAGAGGCGAGAGGTCAATAAAATAAAATAAACCCAAAACTCGGCACAGAGCGAACCGGAACAGCTGATGCACAAGGGGGCGCTATTCCTATTCTTCTTCTGGAGAAACGAAAGAGAACTTCAGAACAAAGAGTGCAGCGACATCTGAGCCAATGCGCGGACTTCCGGGGACACTTTTTGAGCCGAATAAATTATCTTGTTATGAACGATCTTTGATCAATCATGACATCACAAGTTCTAGATCTATCTGCACGGTAGGCCTACGTGGTTTTGAGAAATTTGACGTTTAATAATTCGAGTTTCATTTTGATGTCAAGCTTTTTCGAATGCAATTCTTTGAATATCTTGATAACGACTCCGAATTATCTTACGATTTTGATAGAGCAGCTAGCTATAACATTTGGTTTCTGGCCTAATGGTCTTATAGCAGCTTAAAACAGCCAAAAATGTCAAAAAGAACTTTTTAACTTGAATTTAGAGATTTGCATACCGTCTGGTTCTGGAGAGAGAAACAAAATATAATTTGAAAAAATTCCTTTCAATTTCAACATTATTTATTTGAGAACGTAACTTTATTAATATGACAGAAGGGCATCCATTTCAAGCAGGAGACCCGAAGTCATTTCCCTGGTAGGGATTAATTGGTCGCCTTGAATCCCGGAAAAATGCTGTTTTGAGAACATCGAATGTAAATTTTTACACCGTTTTCAGTTTCTTTAAAAGACAAGGAGAGTTTTCTCTATATCCAAGCAAACATACACACCTACGAAACCAAACTTCTCCTACAGGTAAGGCAATGCCCACTTTTGGTGTAGGTCAAGATTTCTGGAAACCCCCGAAATCTGGCTTAGCCGGCTTGTCCTTAAAAAAGCGACCATTATTTATCGAGTATCTCGATCCTTCTGTTGGGATGTTGGATCCCTTTCAGCCTGAGTCTGCTCTTACAGGATGGGGGTTAGGATCAGTACCGATGGGGTCCGGTAGCGAAGTGGTTAGTGCGCTCGTCTCCGAAGCGGAACGACCGGGTTCGAGCCTCGGTTCGGACACGAATTTTTTTTTTCACCCCCTCCTGCCCACCCAGCAGTAATGGGTACCTAACTTCGAGTTGGGGAAGTAAAGGCGGCGTGGTAAGGAACTGGCCACCCTACCACAATATGCCGAAGGCCCAGGAAGTTGTCTCATTAACAAGGCAATCCCCAATGTCCCAATCGGATGCGGGAACAACTTTACTTTACTTTACCAATGATGTAGCTAAAAGCGTCTACATTATAAAAAAGAAAACCCAACAAAATGTTCCTGTTTCCTGTATTTCCCAGCATGCAGTTCCTGGCTCTCTTTCTCCTCGTGGCCCCTGTGGCTTACACTGTGGCTGCGCCAGACCCCACCACCATCTGCCTGCCAGAAAAGAGCAGCGCATACGTCTTTAGCCTGAGTGACAACGTAAGTATCCGTTATTCTTTAAGGCAATCTGCTTCTTAATAATAATAATAATAATAGTAATAAAAATAATAATAATAATGATAATAATAATAATAATAATAATAATAATAATAGATAGCATTTGTATAGTGCAAGCTCTATGCGCTTCACAATCTATACCCCAGCAGACTTTAGAGCATTCTGAAATAACTTTAACTTCCTGGGAAGAATACACTGCAAGCGGCCGTTTATCTTGAGGATCTAAAGTCCACAATTCTTTACTTAACACAAATGAATGCTGTTAAATTTGTTAATTACATATCAAGTATAAATTTCTACCAGACATTTTAGCTGCGGCGCCAGTGGTTTCATATTTGTTTTCAATCGTACCATTCTCACCTTTGAAGTTGCAAATTACACTCTTGTGACCCGTTATTTCCCGGGTGCCTTGATAGTCGAAGCAGACTTTGTATGGTGAAGCTAGAGAGGTGAGCAGAGTAAGTCTGATTCCCTGTCAGGACTTCTCAGTTGACATCCACCCCTTGACGCTCATTTGACCTCCTGCAGTTGCGAGTGCATTAAAACATCTACTAAAACGAACTTTGAAGTTGCAAATTGGACTTTTTCCAGTCAAGTGTTCATTTCTTAAATAATTAATTACATGTACTGACCTATTCTCTCCCTATAGCGTCATGCATACAAAGCAAAGGACTGTCGGGGGCTCTCGTGGCCTACAGGTTAAGGTGTTGGCCTCTCATTCAAAATTGAATCCGGGTAGCAACTGAACAATTTTCTTCTCTAAAATTGTCTCCTTTCACCTCCTTTCCTGCTCTTTAGCAATGTTCTGTCGACTGCTTTGGTCTCCATTTTCTGCGCCCACCCCCTCACCTCCTTCGCCCCCTCCTCTGGGCTCCTGACTCTTTCCTCAGCCTTTCTACTGCTACTCCTTGGCTCCTTGTTACTGCTGTCTTTCAGCCACACCTCTGATCTTCTGGTGAGAAAGACCTACACCTAGTCTTCTCGGACAAGGGCGAAAAATCTTGGAGGTCCCGTGTGCAAGTTGCGCACGTTAAAGATCCCTTGGTGGTCCAAATTCGATAAGAGTAGGCTTCTGCCGCCACCCGGCAAAAAATCAAAATTTCCTACCAACTGAAAATGCTTAATGTGTCCTGCGCGCTCGTAATATGACTTTATGCAGTTGCGAGCGCCGTAAAACACTTACAAAAAAAAAGACTAGTTCACAAGGAAGGACCATTATTGACTTACACTTAAATTTGGGAAACTGTGGATATTTTGGATAGTGGGCGCTGAAATTTAAAACATATGCAGGGATTTGAATTAACTCGTGTTTGTTCTTGTTTATTTCAGCGCCGGGCCAACGTGTCTGTTGACTTCTCTCAGAACAAAGCCGTGGCGGTCTATGAGCAAGGCAGGAGAGTCTCAGATCTGAACACTGTAAGTGCAAGAAATCCTTCCACATTTAGTTCTTAACCCTATCCGTACGCCTGGGGGTCATTTTGTACCCTCAGGGTTGTATTCTTCACATTTTAGAATACATGTACTTCTAGCACGAAGATCTCTTTGAAACTTTCAGTATTTCTCCAAAAATCATTTTAACAGACTGCTGCGCGCGCGTGCACATACACAAACACATACATACATACACACACTCACACGCACATTCACTTACACACACACACACACATTTACACACACATACACACACTCATTCACTCTCTCACACACACACACACATTCACACACACACACACACACACACACACACACACACACACACACACACACACACACACACACACACACACACACACACACACACACACACACACACACACACACACACATTCACATTCTCTTTCTTTTCTTAGCGTCAGCGAGAATAAGAAAGGCAACTTTTTTAATAATCATTTTGTTGAATTATGTGGTAAGTCCGTAACCTCTTGTAAGCGTGCACGAAAAATGTGACAGAAATTCTACACATTTATTCAACACTTTCGTCTGCCAGCAGACGTTGTAAGTTAGAAATGTGTGGGCTAGAGAGTAAATAGTAGAGCGAAAGGCAGTTAGTAGGGTCAAAGATAGTAAATAACAAGATGGGCCACTCAGCCAAAAAAGTGTCCGCAGGAAGTCCGCTCTTTGCTTCAGATGGCGCCACAGAATTCTACGCAGAATAAGTGTAGAATTCTGTGGATGGCGCTGCATTCTGTTTTGAAGCTCTCTTTCGTTTTTCCAGAAGAAGAATAGGAATAGCACCTCCTTGCGTGCGCAGATCGACTGCTGTTCATCAGCAGTTCGGGTTCGTTCAGTGTGGAGTTTTAGTTTTTTTATTTTTTATTTTAATGACCTCTCGCCTTTCATTCTTGAGTCAAATTAAACGAAGAAAACAATCACCCTTTCCTCCGCAAGCGGTTTTTTGTCAGCGTAACCATTTTTAAAAAGTGTTCTTCCGAAATTCATTCAAAAACTTGCTAGTTTCACTTTGATTTTTTAAACTCGAGTAGGATAACTCTGTTCGCAAAAGGTGCGCTTTTGCGAAGAGGGCGCCACCGAATTTTGAGGACACTTTTTTAATTGGCTCAAAGAGAGAAGTGGCCCCTCTTGTTATGTAGACTCTTTGGTAGGGTACACTCAAACTAGAGGCGGGACACGCCTGACAAGTCCATCATTTCATCTTATTATTGGCTGAACAATACAAAAACATCGCAGTAAGTAGCCGCGTTTGTTTCACTTACATTACTTGATTGCAATAATTGTTATGTTTTCTTAATTAAAATTGATTCCCCAATATGACAGCCCAGGTGAAAATTATGGGAAAAGTTAAAACATACACCTTTTCTTTCAATTTCTAAAAAGGCCTTTTGAAAACTGTGGCCGAAATATGCTAAACCCCCCTCCCTTACCTTATTTAGGCCACAATGTGGCCCAAATAAGCTAAACCCCCCCCTCCCTTACCTTATTTAGGCCACATCATAATATGGTAGATTTCTTAAACTAACCATGGATTCGGAAGGTCGAGATTCTACTGATCTTTTTATTTAGTGCGGGGGGTTATTTCAAAATAGAGGATGATACTAAATGATAAGTGGACCAAGGGTAAGAGTTGTGTGTGTGTATGTGTGTGTGTGTGTGTGTGTGTGTGTGTGTGTGTGTGTGTGTGTGTGTGTGGACTTCTCTGTTGACACCCATGATCAATTGGTCGCTTTTAAGCACAAGGGAGCTATCCCGAAAAATGCTGTTTTGAGAAAATCGAAATATAAGTTTTTGGACCCTTGTTCAGTTTCTTTCAAAGACAAGGAGAGTTTTCTCTATAACCAAACAAATACAGCACTAATTACACCAAACTTCTCCTATAGGTAGGGCAATGCCCAATTTTGGTGTAGGTCAAGAATTCTGGAAACCCCCCGTAATCTGGGGTTAGCCAGCTTGTCCTTGTTGCAAAAATGACTCCTCTAGTAGCTAGCTGGCTTCCTGTATTACTAGGCCCTAGGTTTACTTTTCAATTTGGAATGAGAATAAAAAATAAGCAAATAAGAATATTATTCAAGTCTTGTATTTTCATTTATTATATTTTATTACTTTTAAATGTATTTAACTGTCATTTGTAATATGATTTTACAATGATATATCTTCAATTGCATCTCTTACATTTTACTTTGAATGGGATAGAACTTTTGTTTTGGCTGGAGCAGGCCCTCGCGAATAATTCAGTTAAAGTTAAAGTAAAGCGACCAATTATGTGAATATTTTCCAGAACTACACCTACACGATTGACGTTTCCGGTGCGTGCACCAGGTCCCCTCTGCCTGTACTCGGCTTCCTCACTAAATGTCTCCCAGGTAAATCAGAACATTTATTGTGCAGCGTACTGACAAAATGAGTTACTTCTCGGATTCGATCCATATAACAATAGATACACCACGCGCATAGGTGAAGTTTTTATAATTTATAAATTTGAAATGATAAAAGTTATGTTAGAATCAATACTTAAAGATTATGGCATCAATAGAAAATCTACAAATTTGACCCCAGGGTCAATTTTTGGCCAATATCTTCATTTATGGAATGTGAAAAGTAACTGATATTGTCAGCACACCTCATATTATTTTTTGACTTCTTTCTGTTCGTAAAGAAACAATACATCCCCCCCCCCCCCCCCAAACCCCACCCCACCCCCAAAAAAACAAAAAAAACAAACAAACAAGGGCAGTGCTGCTGGCTAAATTATCTTTAGGCCATTCCCAAAGGGGGATATTAACATGTTCTAGTGAACAGTAGAATTGTAAATGGGCTGATTTATCAATGTCATGCTCATACTGTGCCGGAACAACATAGGGGGAACTGCTGCTTTTTCTTTCCTCATGCTTATTATCGTCATTTTCCCTCTACTTCTTTTGTATGTTTGTCACACTATTTTAAACTATTATTTCAGGGGTGCCTTGATAGTCGAGGCAGACTTTGTGCTGTTTAGTCTGATTATTTTCCATTATCATTCTTTGTTAAAATTAACAGAATCGCATAATTTCACCTTTTTTTTTTGGGGGGGGGGGTGCTCAGTTTGCATAATTCCTGAATTTTTCTTGCATTAAACGACAGATACAGCTTGTAACATCTCTAATTTTCGGCACTTATATGACCTTATTGTGCTGCAAGTGCCGTAAAACTCTTTCTAAAACTACAACGATCCGCTCCACAGCTTCGGCCGTGTACATGGGTTCAGTGTTCGAGGGTTTCGTCAAAAAAGTCAGCCTGGACGCGTGGCTGATCCCCGTGAGCCAGACCATCAACGTCACTCTGCTCACCTTCACTGAGCCGGGGCAAACTGACTCCTACTTCGTGCTCAGGAGAGATGAATGTAAGTGAATTGTTGTTGCTGTTGTTGTTGTGTTTGATGTTGTTGTTGTGTTTGATGTTGTTGTGTTTGATGTTGTTGCTGTTGCTGTTGTTGTAGTTGTTGTTGGGCAAACTGACTCCTACTTCGTGCTCAGGAGAGATGAATGTAAGTGAATTGTTGTTGCTGTTGTTGTTGTGTTTGATGTTGTTGTTGTGTTTGATGTTGTTGTTGTTGTAGTTGTTGTTGGGCAAACTGACTCCTACTTCGTGCTCAGGAGAGATGAATGTAAGTGAATTGTTGTTGTTGTTGTGTTTGATGTTGTTGTTGGGCAAACTGACTCCTACTTCGTGCTCAGGAGAGATGAATGTAAGTGTAAGTGAATTGTTGTTGTTGTTGTTGTTGTTGTAGTTAATGTTGTTTCTGTTGTTGTTGTAGTTCTTGTTTTGTTGTTGTTTTTCTTCTTCTTCCAGGCAACATGTCATAGAAATTGTAGTCTTTATAATTATGTTTCCATTTGGGTTTGAATTGCGCGCTCGTGTGTGTGTGTGTGTGTGTGTGTGTGTGTGTGTGTGTGTGTGTGTGTGTGTGTGTGTGTTTGGGAGTGTGTGTGAGTGTGCACATGTGTTTCATACGAAATAAAAACACATTTTTACTAAATTTTTAGGAGATAAGATGTTGAACAAAAAGTAGGATATCTTGAAATTGAATTAAATTAATGTGGCACATATATTTCCTTTCTGAACACTCTTTTCTACTTGTAGTTTGTAGTTTTCGAAACTGAGTGATAGTTTCAAAGTCTTTAATTTACTTGCCAAGAGGAAATCATAACACAGCAGGTGGTTGGCGGGTGCTCTGGTGCGGCTTGCTCCTTCTTTCCTATCAAACATTTATCGTCCTTTTCTCCCCTCCTTCCATTTTGTGTTTGTTACTCTCTTACTTATGACACCTCTAATCTTCGGCACTTATATGACCTTATTGTGTTGCAAGTGCCGTAAAACACTTACTAAAACTAAAAATCATAACACCAATCATTATTATCTCCTCCTCAGTCCCGCAAGGACGACAGATCACCTTTGTCAGCAACCCTGTGGCTTCCATCCCTGACTCCAGCATTTTCAACGTCCCCGCCGTGTGCCCAGACACCCCGGTTAATTAAAAGAAGGAACTGCTCAGCAGAGTTTGAACAGAAGGATGGTTCCGTTCGTTAGTTGTTCTGTTTGTTTTGGTAAAGTGTTTTACGGCGCTCGTAACTGCATAAGGTCATATGAGCGCGCGGGTTAGTTGTTCTTGTTTGATTAAACGTTGATACATAACAATAACAACAACAATAACAGCGATGCGTTCGCTTTGTCATGGGTTGTGAGGAAGGAAAATATACAAAAGTGTTTGGGGTTTTGTTTTTGTTTAATTAATACTTCTTGTTTGTTTAAATGTTCATAAATTATTTCAATGCGTGAGCATGTTAAAGATCCCTTGGTGGTCCAAAATCGATATGAGTAAGCTTCAGCCCCGGCCTGGGCAAAATTCAAAATTGCAAAAATTTTATAGCGTACATGTACAAGATCTAGTTTTTATAGAATACCTTTCTTGTTGTCAGACAAACTTACTTGTAGTTTTTGTTCTGTTTTGTTTTGGGTTGTTTGTTTTTGTTGTTGTTGGGGGTTGTTGTTGTTTTTTTTTTTTTTGGGGGGGGGTTAAAATTATTTCTTATAAACAAAAACTACAAGTTTGTCTGGCAACAAGAAAGATATTCTATAAAAACTAGATCTAGAGGTCTAGTACATGTACGCTATAAATTTTTTGCAATTTTAAATTTTGCCCAGGCCGGGGCTGAAGCTTACTCATACATGTATCGATTTTGGACCACCAAGGGATCTTTAACATGCGCAACTTGCACACGGGACCTCAAAGACATTTCGCCCTTATCCAAGAAGGCTAGATGTTAAATCGCTGCCACGGGTGTGGCTGAAGTATAATAAAATAGTAAGAAGAAGCCAAGGAGTAGCAGTGGAAATGCTGCAGAATGTTATTGGTATCACATGAAAGCGGATTTATTCGCCTTGCTTCCAACGAAATAAACATCTATTTATCTTGAATAGAACTTAAGGTATCTGCATTTGAAGGATGAGAGGTCGCCTGATTTCAGTGGTGAAGTTAGCGGGAAAACGGCCGTCAAAGTTTGGAAACTGTAATAGCTAAAGAGTCTTTGAAAAGGGAAAAATGACATATTTTGTGCCTTTAATCAAAGTTTTTCTGTAAAATTCACATGTAAATATGTTTTTACATGGAGATAAAAGAGGTTAAGTCAAAAATACAAATTCGATAAAGACTCCCAAACTAGCAGAAAATGCCTGCTTCTCTGATTTCGTTATTTTGACGAGCGCCTAATTTCACCTGTTTTTGTTTCTGTAGAAGTTTTACGGCGCTGGCAACTGCATAAGGTCATATGAACGCTAGAAGATTAGGAGTTACGAGAGAGTAACAAACATAAAAAAGAAGGAGGGGAGATAAGGACGATAGATGTTTGATAGGAAAAAAGAAGCAAACCACATCAAGGCACCCGCCAAGCACCCACTGATTTCATCACACTGCCTCACATTAGTAGACTTTTACAGAGCAGCATCTTTATAATGCAATGCTCTTGTACACACTTTAAACAGGACAGACAAAGATGTTTTTTGTTTTGATTTTGTATAGTGTTTTACGGCGCTCGCAACTGCATAGGTCATATGAACGCGCGGGACACTCCTAATATTTTCAGTTGGTAGGAAATTTTGAATTTTGCCCGGGTGGCGGCCGAAGCCTACTCTTATCGATTTTAGACCACCAAGGAGGGATCTTTAACGTGCGCAACTTGCACACGGGCCCTCCGAGATTTTTCGCCCTTGTCCGAGAAGGCAAGGTGTAGATCTTTCCTACCAGAATATCAGGGGTGTGGCAGAAAGGCAGCAGTTAGGAGGAGCCAAGGAGTAGCAGTAGAAAGGCTGCAGAAAGAGTCAGGAGCCCAGAGGAGGGGGCAAAGGAGGTGGGGGGGTGGGGGCAGAAAGTGGAAATGAAAGCAGACAACAGAACATTGTTAGAGATCAGGAAAGGATGTGAAAGGAGACAATTTTAGAGAAGAAAATTTTTTTGGTCGCTACCCAGAATCGAACCCGGGACCTTTGAATGAGAGGCCAACACCTTAACCTCTAGGCCACGAGAGCCCCCGCAGCATCTTTATTATAATGCAATGCTCTTGTACACACTTTAAACAGGACAGACAAAAACGGGACAAGAACTCAGTTGTTAATTAAACATATCTTTTATATTAACATTTGTCAAGTGCAAAATACACATTTTGACATCTGCTGCATATCGTTTATAGATAAAAATTACATGACATTGTACCATCCTACGAAGAAATGCTGAACGGTCAAAATAAAAAAACACCAAAAACTATGCACAATCAGCTCTGGCATTTTCAATAAAAGTCAAAGTAAAAGACTTCAGTAATCTGAGTCCATACTCATCTACTGACCAATAGTGCCAACAAATAAACTGGAAAAGAAATTGAGATTCATCATTTTGCGACCCCAGTCCTTTCTCGTCGTTTCGTTTCTCTATTTTTACTAACCAGTGACAACAGTACATAACGAAGAGTGAGCTTAGTTTAGTTTTAGTAAGAGTTTTACGTCACTTGCAACACAATAAGGTCGTATAAGTGCCGAAGATTAGAGGTGTTACAAGAGAGTAAACTAACGTAAAAAAGAAGGAGAGATCAGGACGATAGATGTTTGATAGGAAAGAAGGAGCAAACCACACCAGAGTACCCGCAAACCACCCACTTACAAAGAGTGAGCTTAACAAAATGTGTCACATTTTTACAGTTTAAAAAAACGGAGATACGACAAGAAAGCACAGAGGTCCCAATTTGCTCAGGACACCCCAATTTGCTCAGGACACATGTCATGCACCAAATGCGACGAGCGCCACGTGATCACTGGCCTGTTCAAGAACGATATATCATCACCAGGTTCCACAGCTACATACATTCTACAAATCTGCACAAAATAAATCCAGGCATACATACATTACATACAACAAATACACCCAAAATAAATCCAGGCATACATACATTACATACAACAAATATACCCAAAATAAATCCAGGCATACATAAAACAAATCAGCACAGAATAAACCCAGGCATAAATGAATAAATGCAACAAATCTGCACAAAATAAATCCAGGCATAAATGAATAAATGAAACAAATCTGCACAAAATAAATCCAGGCACACAACGACGGCCCAAAATGAAGAAACCTCAAGGGTTAAAACAGCCGATGCAATAACCACCACGGCTAACAGTTCTGGCCTCCTGTCACTCACCATAAACTACAACTGCATTTACAATTTTATTTTTTAGTAGAGAGGTTTTACGGCGCTTGCAACTGCATAAGGTCAAATGAGCGCCAGAAGATTAGAGGTGTTACAAGAGAGTAACAAACATAAAAAAGAAGAACGGAAGATAAGGACGATATTTGTTTGATAGGAAAAAAGGAGCATTTACAATTTGTACTTGCATTCCTCACAAAGGAATTTCAATACTTACAATACAAAAACATTCTTTGGACTCCCTGGGCTCACAAAACAATAGAACATTGTCCATCAATCTTTCAAATCCCTCACTTCACTGTACTTACAAACACGCACTAGAATACTTAGTTTTAGTTTTAGTAAGAGTTTTACGGCACTTGCAACACAATAAAAGTCATATAAGTGCTGACGACTAGAGGTGTTCCAAGAGAATAACAAGCATAAAAAAGGAGGAGGAGAGATCAGGACGATAGATGTCTGATAGGAAAGAAGAAGCAAGCCACACCAGAGCACTCGGCCAATCACCCACGCACTAGAATACATTGAACGGACAAACATAAAACCACAAGGTACAGTCCAGTAGGAATCCGCAGTTCACAAGACACTGCATTATAAAGCAGTTGTTTGGTATATCATGCAGAGACTGCTAAAACAAAAATGAGCGAGGCAGAGGAGTCAATTGGGTACCTGTGCTTTAACTTTAAGTAAAAACAAAAAGACATCCATTGTGAGGAATAAAAACCTATACAACTTTTAGCGGGTAAAAAAGACATTTTTGTCAAATATTTACACGTATCACATTTTCAGTCTAAACAAATGTTTTAGAAAATAATACAATATAAACATCTTAAGATTCAAGACATCTGAGTAGAAAAAGCACACCCCCAAAAATACAATCCACTCCACTAGTAGCCAAGTTGGTTCTTTGCTGTTCATGTCAGCATCATTTACTGAACTGCTACAGTTGTTTTTTTTTAATATTTTTTTTTTTAGTAGAGGGTTTTACGGCGCTCGCAACTCCATAAAGTCATATGAGCGCCAAGGGGTGGGTGTCAACAGAGAAGTCCTTACAGGGAATCAGACTTACTCTGCTCACCTCTCTAGCTTCAACAGCACAAAGTCTGCTTCAACTATCAAGGCACCCCGGAAATAGCAGGTCACAAGAGTGACAAACATACAAAAGAAGTAGAGGAAAATGACAATAGTAAGGATTGGGAAAGAAAAAGCAGCAGTTCCCTGTTGCAGATCAGGCAAAGTTATGAGTGTGACATGAATCATGAATTTCTACTGTGCTTGAACGAGAAATGTCCCCCCTTTGGGAATGGCCTAAAGACACTACAGTCACTTGTTGGCTCGGCATGTCAGCATCATTTACTGCTAGAGTTGTTTCTGTTGTGCATGTCAGCATCATTTACTGCTAGAGTTGTTTGCGGTTCACGTCAGTTTCATTTACGGTGGGCCTTCATATGACCTTATGCAGTTGCGAGTGCCATAAAGCCTTACTATAACAAAGAGTTGTCCCCCAACAGACACCAGATGGCCAAAGAGGTAGAGGAAGACCGGTGGACACCAGGGGAGGAACCGTAGAGACTAAGACAAAGAACAAGAGTGAAACACACACACACACACACACACCTGAGACAAACAACAAAGGTGGAACACACACACACACACCGACCCCTGAGACTAAGAACAAAGGCGGAACACACACACACACACACACACACACACACACACACCGACCCCTGAGACAAACAACAAAGGTGGAACACACACACACACACCCCCCTGAGACAAAGAACAAGGGTGGAGGTGGAACACATACACACACACCCCCCTGAGACAAAGAACAAAGGTGGAACACCCCCCCCCCCCCCCCCCCGAGTTCTTTTGAGAAAATGGCAAAAGGCAGGCCTGAATGACAGTTGGTAGTGGAGGAAGCCATACGACACATACGACATACGACACATACGTACATCACTATGGGAAGAGGAGCAAGTTTGTTTTGTTTTAGTAGAGGTTTTACAGCGCTCGCAACTGCATAAGGTCATATGAGCACCAAGGGCTGGATGTCAACAGAGAAGTCCTTAAAGGGAATCGGGCTTACTCTGCTCACCTCTCTAGCTTCAACAGCACAAAGTCTGTTTCGACTTTCAAGGCACCCCGGAAATAGCAGGTCACAATAGTGTGACAAACATACAGAAGAAGTAGAGGAAAATGACAACAGTAAGGATTTAGAAAGAAAAAGCAGCAGTTCCCTGTTGTAGTTCAGGCACAGTTATAAGCATGACATTGATGAATCAGCCCATTTACAATTACAATTCTACCGTGCCGAAGAACTCGAGATGTTATTGTCCCCTCGTTTGGGAATGGCCTAAAGACCTTCAGTCAGTAGCACCTCCCTGGGGGGGTAGGTGCAGGTGTAAGTGAGATAATGAGGTTCAAATCTCAAGACAGCGCGATGGACCGTGGCAACCAGCATTACAGCGAGATCGAGTCCACTTGACTTCTTGTCTGCTTTTGATAGAATAATACTGCCAGCTTGTACGTGGAGTAGATGTACAACAAACTTCTTTGTTTTCGAAAGAGTTTTACAGTACTTGCAACACAATAAGGTCACAAAAGTGCCAGAGATTAGAGGTGTTACAAGAGAGTAACAAACACAAAATAGAAGGAGAAGAGATAAATACGATAGATGTTTGATAGGAAAGGAGAAGCAAACCACACCAGAGCACCCGGCAACCACCCACTGAACAAATTTCTACACACAGAAATTTAAAAAAGATCTCTCTCAAAACATAAGTACCCCAAAAAACTAAAACAAGGCCACTTTCACTTTCAGATATACAACTGTCCGGGGAATACAAATCTAAAAAAAAAACATGAGGGGAGCAAAATACAGAGAGAGGAAACTCCAGTTGAGTGAGCACAGAAATCAGATCACAACACCGAGACGACATCAGGCACGGGCTCCCTCGTTCACGGGTCCTTTGTCCCTAGTTCACGGGTCCTATGTCCCTAGTTCACCTGTCCTATGTCCCTAGTTCAATCGTCCTATGTCCCTAGTTCACGGGTCCTATGTCCCTAGTTCACCTGTCCTATGTCCTTAGTTCACGGGTCCTATGTCCCTAGTTCACGGGTCCTATGTCCCTAGTTCACCTGTCCTATGTCCTTAGTTCACGGGTCCTATGTCCCTAGTTCACCTGTCCTATGTCCCTAGTTCACGGGTCCTATGTCCCTATGTCCCTAGTTCACCTGTCCTATGTCCCTAGTTCACGGGTCCTATGTCCCTAGTTCACCTGTCCTATGTCCCTAGTTCACGGGTCCTATGTCCCTAGTTCACCTGTCCTATGTCCCTAGTTCACGGGTCCTATGTCCCTAGTTCACCTGTCCTATGTCCCTAGTTCACGGGTCCTTTGTCCCTAGTTCACCTGTCCTATGTCCCTAGTTCACCTGTCCTATGTCCCTAGTTCACCTGTCCTATGTCCCTAGTTCACGGGTCCCATGTCCCTAGTTCACCTGTCCTATGTCCTTAGTTCACCTGTCCTATGTCCCTAGTTCACCTGTCCTATGTCCCTAGTTCACGGGTCCTATGTCCCTAGTTCACGGGTCCTATGTCCCCAGTTCACCTGTCCTATGTCCCCAGTTCACCTGTCCTATGTCCCTAGTTCACCTGTCCTATGTCCCTAGTTCACGGGTCCTATGTCCCTAGTTCACGGGTCCTATGTCCCTAGTTCACGGGTCCTATGTCCCTAGTTCACCTGTCCTATGTCCCTAGTTCACCTTTCCTATGTCCCTAGTTCACCTGTCCTATGTCCCTAGTTCACCTGTCCTATGTCCCTAGTTCACGGGTCCTATGTCCCTAGTTCACCTGTCCTATGTCCCTAGTTCACCTGTCCTATGTCCCTAGTTCACCTGTCCTATGTCCCTAGTTCACGGGTCCTATGTCCCTAGTTCACGGGTCCTATGTCCCTAGTTCACCTGTCCCATGTCCCTAGTTCACCTGTCCCATGTCCCTAGTTCACGGGTCCTATGTCCCTAGTTCACGGGTCCTATGTCCCTAGTTCACGGGTCCTATGTCCCTAGTTCACGGGTCCTATGTCCCTAGTTCACGGGTCCCATGTCCCTAGTTCACCTGTCCTATGTCCCTAGTTCACGGGTCCTATGTCCCTAGTTCACGGGTCCCATGTCCCTAGTTCACGGGTCCTTCGTCCTTATTTCACCGGTCCTTTGAAGCTCTCCACGAGTTTACTAATCTGCTCAAGAGTGATCCCCCTTTCTATCAAGCGGCTGAAAAAGTCCCACTTTCCTGCAATGGCTCCTTCGATCTGTGGAAGTGCAGAAGAAAACAGCACAATTTTAACCTCACTGATATATTCACGTCTTAGCTTAGTTTTAGTAGAGGTTTTTCGGCGCTCGCAACTGCATAAAAGGTCATATGAGCGCCAGTATTCACAGCTCAAAAGAAAAACTTCAACAATCAAAATTGTCCCAAGATGGCTGCTCATTGCCAAGCAGAAAAATGTCTTAGAGGATGTGGATTAGTTAACGCTCAGATTCTACTGGATCGCTAACAACAGAGGATGAGGATACTTTTACTTTTGGTAAACAAGGAGAGGAGATAAGGACGGTAGATGTTTGATAGGAAAGAAGGAGCAAACCACACCAAAGCACCACCCCCCCCCCCCCCCCCCCCCCGATAACCCTAGCGGATCGGACCGGGCCCATCTCGCTATGACCGTGTCGAGCCAAGTCGAGGGTGTTATATGGGAAGAAGGGGGCCACTAACACAAGAGGGTGGGAGTTTTCCCCCCCCCCCCCTGATCACCCACAGATAATGTGGATGTCTTGGACAAAGCAAGCAAGCAAGTTTTCGTCAGAGGCCCACGTCACACCACATAAAATACTCATTTGTTAAATAAAATTTCCATATAATGAAAAAGTACAGGTTGTGCACATATCTCTTATCATGGGTCAAACACTGCATAATTTAATTACGGAGGACGACTGGAATGTCGACCCCTTGACAATGGTTCAAATACTTCTTTGCTCGTAGCATTATATTAACCCTATCAGTACATCGTGTTTTACTAACTCTGTGCCACCACTTTCCAGAGGAGAAATTTACTCGTTAATCCGATCTGTACGCTTTGCATAGCAGTATGTCAAAATGATTTTTTGAGAAATACTGAAAGTTTCAAAGAGATCTTCGCACTAGAAGTATTCTAAAAATGTGCAGAATACAACCCCGGGGGTACAAAATGACCCCAGGCGTACAGACAGGGTTAAGAATACAAACTAAAGTAAAAGAAAAAGATTAACCCTTAAAACCCTATACCCTGGTCGACATTATCGTTTAATTCCCAGTGCTAGAAACAGGGGATGTAACTCCAGATGACTGTCACGAACAGAAAGTACCGATGATGTCATGAGACCAGTTCTACTCCGAAAGTTTGGAAATTTTGCGAGTTTTTAAAGAAAAATCGGTCACTTTTCGCTGCCAGGCCCTTCATGCCGCAAAATTTTTGACTTTTAAAATCCTGAACCAGACCCCAATAATGATCTCCCAGTCGGATATATCGATAAATATAACAGTTGAAGACGATTGCAATGTTCCGCATAACATCGATAATGATTTTGACGATAGTGGAATTGGCAGGGGATCCCCACTAAAGCTACCAGGGGCTATATCTACTACGGCTGGGTCTAAAGATACTTTGACTGAAGTGGAGTCTGGGATCACACACAAGACTTAACTCATAGAGTTGGTCCTAAAAACCAGTGTTTTCACCTTTTCCCCTTTTGTTCAGACTGTTCATTCATATATAAATAACATTTTCAAACGTCAGTAAAATCTAACAACAATTAAAGACACAGTAAACAAAACAATGAACCAACCTAATTTGTTCTAGTACCTCAATTTTAATTCAGGATTCTAGGGCGGTATGAAAAAACAGAATTCAGGGTTTTAAGGGTTAAAATCATCAAAGGCCAACCATGACTTAAAAATCCCACTTACCTCTGATCTCGACATGTCTTTGCTGCTCTTGGAGTTGTTGAAAATCTCTCGTAAGACCTCCTGCTCCTTCGAGGAAAATACTGATGTGGCCTCGGAGGGTGATGGCTTCAAAAGACAATGTTAAAATATAGATTAGATACATAGTGTTAGAAAATAGATTAGACACACAATAGAATGTTAGAAAATAGATTAGACACCCAAGGTTAGAAAATAGATTAGACAGAGAAGGTTAGAAAATAGATTAGACACAGAAGTAGATTAGACGCACAATAGAATGTTAGAACAAAGTATGGGTTTTGTAGACAAGAACAAAGTATGGCATTTGTAGACAAGAACAAAGTATGGGTTTTGTAGACAAGAACAAAGTATGGGTTTTGTAGACAAGAACAAAGTATGGGTTTTGTAGACAAGAACAATGTATGGGTTTTGTAGACAAGAACAAAGTATGGGTTTTGCAGACAAGAACAAAGTATGGGTTTTGCAGACAAGAACAAAGTATGGGTTTTGTAGACAAGAACAAAGTATGGGTTTTGTAGACAAGAACAAAGTATGGGTTTTGTAGACAAGAACCAAGTATGGGTTTTGTAGACAAGAACCAAGTATGGGTTTTGTAGACAAGAACAAAGTATGGGTTTTGTAGACAAGAACAAAGTGTGGGATTTGAAATCCACAGTGATGAAAAAGTACAAATAGCCCAAAACTTCTTTCAAGGAGATTTTAGGACTGCAGTATAACATCGATAGCTCAAATTCGTCAGGACCGGCCTCGGTAGTTTGAATGACCCGTAGTTCGAGGGATATCTTACAAAGATAAAGAAGAAGAAAAAAAATTGGACCGCAGGCACAGTTCGACAGACACGTGATTTCGAGTCTTCTGTGTTCGACCTATCCGTGTTATACTGTAGTTTAGCCTCCTTGTTTCATTCATGTTGAGCATGGGTCTCAACTCAGTTCCTAAAAAAAGGAGGAACTTTACGCCGGATTATGACAGAAGACCCTTTTCGCGAGACACCCATTACTTTCACAAACAAAGAGGTAGTCGTCCATACCTTCACTTTCGTGTCTTGTTCAGCACCAGGCCGAGAGAGAGCAGAACTTCCGCTTCCTTCGGGCATGGCGCACTCCTCCGACGTCTGGGCGGGCGCCACGAAGGGCTTGATGACTGCGACCTGAGGCTGGGACGTCGGGGGCAAAAACCCAACAGGTCTGGACGGCAGACTATCAACTACCGGTCGTTCTGACACTTTTGTGGAGTTGAGAGAGAAAACGTCCTGTATGATGAGACAATCGGGAGACGAGGACCGCTTCACGCGAGAGGTAGATGCACGGGGTTTTGGCTTTGGTGGCGGCGGAGCGACTTTTGGTGCCATTTCACACCCGACAATTTCACATTCTGGAGAAGGACTTCTTCGGCTGACCGAGTCTTTCGGTGCCTCATCCCCAGAACATTCATCGTCTGAAACAACAACACAGTCTCCATCATGCAACTTCTTTGCTGCAGCATCCACAACCTGAGGCTTCTTTGCTGCATAGTTGACACTCTGTGGTGGTCTTGCTGCACTTTCCTCATTGTGTGGTTTCTTTTGGACACGCTCCACATTTTGTGAATTTCCAGCAACGTGGACTATATTCTGAGGTACCTTTTGAACAACGTTTACATTTTGTGGCATTTTTCTAACACAGTCGACATTCTGTTGTTGGCCTGCTACACGTTCTTCATTGTGTGCTTTCTTTTGGACACGCCCCACATTTTGGGAACTTTCACCAATAACACGCCCCATATTTTGTGAATTTACACCAATAACACCCCACACATTTTGTGAACTTCCAGCAACAACACCCCCCACATTTTGTGAACTTCCAGCAACAACACGCCCCACATTTTGTGAACTTCCAGCAACAACACGCCCCACATTTTGTGAACTTCCAGCAACACAGTTTACATTCTGGGGTATATTTCGAACAAAGTTTACATTTTGTGGATTTTTCCCTACATTGTTAGTATTCTGCTGCCTTTGTGCTATACATTGAACATTCTGTGGGTTCCTAGCTACTAACTTAGTATTCTGCTGCTTTCTTGCTATACATTCCACGTTCTGTGGGTTCCTAGCTACTAAGTTAGTATTCTGCTGCTTTCTTGCTATACATTCCACGTTCTGTGGATTCCTAGTTATAGAGTCTACTTTTTCCTGCACTCCTGGAACACATTTTAAATCATGCGACTTCCTGGAAGTAAAATCTGCATTTTTCACGTTCCCCGCATTCTTCAGATTCTGAGGCACAAAGTCAGTATCCTGCGGCTTTTCCCGGGGGTCCAAAAGTTCCCTCAAACTGGGCAGGTCGGAGTCACTGGTATCAGAGGCAGAGTCATCTATCCCTATCACCGGGCTCGTAGCCCTCGTTGGTAGTAATCTACCGTCCTTCGGTGGATTTGGTTTTGATGACTGAGAGAAACATGGCTGCTGCAGATCGGCCTGACGCTGCGATGTGGACGGAGACTTCATCGTTAAACTACTTTTGACCGGTTTGTTATCCGTGGAATGTTGTAGGCCCAGTATGAACTCATCTGACGGTACTTGGAGAAGTGTCTTCGGGTCACTCAAACTCCTCACATCTAAAATGACGATATCCTCACAAGACACGGCCCTCTCTTGCTCGGGGTCGGCTGCTGGCCGTGTTTGGTCCTGCCACCGGAGAACTTTGTTCACACTGCTCAGCTCAGGCACGTCTACGGGGAGACTTTCCTCGACGACGCAGGACGCCTGAGACAGCTTGCTGTTCCCCTCGTCACTGGAGGACAGACTAATCACGCTACTGCTCTCCGACTTCTGGCGCTTCGTCTTTCCGTGGTCTTCTTTCGCCTGGAGTATCGTGAGTGGTTGACCCAGACTTTCGCAGAAGGAAACGTACGACTTCCTTTTGCCCGTGGAGAACAAGCAGGTGAGTTTCAGTTTGAACTCCCCGGAGGAAAAGGGTCTGAGTGAGCGTTTCACTGGGTGATGATGCACTTTCGAGTGTGGAGTATACTGTTTTGGTCGGGAGTCGTATTCAGGCGGGGGTGACATGTCACGCACAGGCTGATCATCATCATCAGACGGAAGGCTGCAGAGCGGGTCATTACGTGAGATATCTTGTGAATTCATCCTGAGAGATGGACTGTGCAGCTGATTCTGAGGTGAGGAAGTGCTGGGCCCAAATATGTGAAACGTGGGTTCATCATCGCTGGAATCCGAATCCAGAGCATATCCGTTCTGAGGACAGAAAATTCAAAACCGTAGATTAATGAATAATAATAATAATAATGGATTGCATTTATATAGCGCATATCCACTTATGCAATGCTCTATGCGCTTAACATGATACATATTGTGGATTTACAAATCAATTTTAAAGGTACATAGTGTTACATACTCTGCTGCCTGCCCACTATGTGACTACCCCTCAGAGACAGTGGAACAACATCTGTTCTTCTGTAGAAAACTAACTGATTTAAGGGGATGTTTTCTTCCCAAGCTACTCCACACATCTAATTGCCTCTACTCCTCAAGACAACAATTAGAACAGACATGCAGCTATTGCAGAATGGCATCATGCAGAAGAGTTAACGCTCAGATGCTACTGGATCGCTAACAACAACAACAGATTAATGGTCGCATTGAGCCGTCTTGACAAAACTATACATCAATATTGGGAATAAGACTACTTTTTCTTCCTCTGCGTTAAAATAGAACATTTTCAAGAAATGAACTAACACACAGCCTCTTCTATAAAGGAACAGTATCCAAGCACAAAACTGCCAAGTTTTTCCCATACAATTTCACAAAAGACTAGAAAGAAAAAAATCACAAGTATACCACATATATAAACGTTTTATGTGACAGAACTGGATGCTGTAAGTGTAAGACACATATGTAAAGTTTTCACTAAAAAACCCCCCAAAAAAACCCAAACGCAGTGCACAGAGAAAATCAACATAAGGACATCTCTAGGCCCCAGACAACAGCTGACTGGAATGAGACTAGGATATAGAGAAAAACAGCCAGTATTTTGTGTAAAGCTCATCATAAGGAACAGAAAAGTCCTTAAGAAGATGGAAATCTACCAGCTGCACCGATACGGGAGACATGGCATGATGGTGTCACCTCAGAACTATTTAATCCAAAGTCGAAGTCCTTACCTCTTTATTCTTCAGCCAAGAGAGTCTTTTGTCGTGTACCCCATAGTCAAACACAATTTCTTTACCCGACACCGTACTCCTTTGCATATATATTATAGCTTAACATAGCATATAGCCAAAGTCCTTACCTCTTTATTCTTCAGCCAAGAGAGTCTTTTGTCGTGTACCTCATAGTCAAACACTATTTCTTTACCCAACACCGTACTCCTTTGCATATATATTATAGCTTAACATAGCATATAGCCAAAGTCCTTACCTCTTTATTCTTCAGCCAAGACAGTCTTTTGTCGTGTACCCCATAGTCAAACACAATTTCTTTACCCGACACCGTACTCCTTTGCAAATATATTATAGCTTAACATAGCACACAGTCGAAGTCCTTACCTCTTTATTCTTCAGCCAGGAGAGTCTTTTGTCGTGTACCCCGTAGTCAAATACGATTTCCTCTCCCTTGTAGATGTCCCTCAAAGCGTAGGCAGCTATCCGGGGAGGCTGAGAGCCGTTCAAGTCCACTATGATGGGAGGGTGGAACTGTATGTTTGGGTTGCGCGAGTGATTCAGCAAGCGTGAAATGGAGCCAAACTCTCTTGTCCCATCAATGGACCATCTTTTATCCTGAAAACAGTCAAAGTTTTTAGTTTTAATAAGAGTTTTACAGCACTTGCAACACAATCAGGTTATATAAGTGCCAAAGGCCAAAGATGAGAGGTGTTACAAGAGAGTTTAGTTTTAGTAGAGGTTTCACGGCGCTCGCAACTGCATAAGGTCATATGGCCGCCAGAAGATTAGAGGTGTTACAAGAAAGTAACAAACATAAAAAAGATGAAGGGGAGATGAGGAAGATAGATGTTTCATAGGAAAGAATAAGCAACCACACCAGTGCACCCGCCAATCACTCACATTACAAGAGAGTAACAAACACCAAAAAGAATGAGGGGAGATAAAGACGATAGATGTTTGATAGGAAAGAAGCAGCAAACCACACCAGAGCACCCGCCAACCACCCACAACAATCAAAGACAACCATCATCCAAATGAAAACATGCAAAACAAACATATTCCTCAAGGAGGGGAGATCAATGCATAATCTTCCAACTTAGAACACAACATGTGCCCCTCAATCAACATACATCTCAACCGAACTGGAGTAAAGCAGTCTGCTGCCTGCCCACTATGTGACTACCCCTCAGAGACAGTGGAACATCATCTGTTTTTCTGTAAAAAACTAACCCATTTGAGGGGATGTTTTCTTCCCAAGCTACCCCACACATCTAACTGCCTCTACTCCTCAAGACAACAATTAACTATAACATATTCCTCCTTTCACCACAGTATGGAACTATTAGTTTAGTTTTAGTAGAGGTTTTACAGCACTCGCAACTGCATAAGGTCATATGAGCGCCAGAAGATTAGAGGTGTTACAAGAGAGTAACAAACATAAAAAAGAAGAAGGGGAGATAAGGACGATAGATGTTTGATAGGAAAGAAGGAGCAAACCACACCAGAGCACCCACCAACCACCCACAGTATGGAACTATGATCATAATACAGTCATGGTAGATGATGATTGAAGCATCTTCAAGCAGTGAGCAACAGAAAAAGAAAAAAAAAAAAAGAATAAAAAACAAGTGTGTTTTTAGATTTGATTAAAGTTTTATAGAACCTGCGACACAAACAGGTTGAATGTTGTTGTTGTTGTTGTTAGCGATCCAGTAGCATCTGAGCGTTAACTCTTCTGCATGATGCCATTCGGTAATAGCTGCATGTTTGTTCTAATTGTTGTCTTGAGGAGTAGAGGCAATTAGATGTGTGGGGTAGCTTGGGAAGAAAACACCCCCTTAAATCAGTTAGTTTTCTACAGAAGAACAGATCGATGTTCCACTGTCTCTGAGGGGTAGTCACATAGTGGGCAGGCAGCAGACTGCTTTACTCCAATTCGGTTGAGATGTTGGTTGAGGGGTACATGTTGTGTTTTAAGTTGGAAGATTATGGATTGATCTCCCCTCCTCAACTCATTGATTGGATCTTTGACCAGTGGTTTATTCATGTGGCCATACATCCTCCTTCCTGTTGTACCTGTGGCCCAATCATTCATCCTCTCTTCCTTGAGGTTTGACTTGATCATTTGGCAGCAATAGGTCGAATACAAGTGCCAAAAATTTGTTTATATTTTATATAGTGATTTACGGCACTCGCAACACAATAAAGTCATATATATAAGTGCCAAAGATTAGTCAACAGAGAAAATTTGCAGAAGCTTAATATTTCAGTTACCATTGCATATGAAGGTATGATACCAAATTTTTTAAAGAGACACTGCACAAAGTATTTAGCCTAAAATTGTTTAAAACTAAACGGTCAAATACTCTAATAATTTATAATCTTAGCCACCATGCTCCCAAAGAATAAGAATTTTTAAAAGGGGGTTATACTTAGTTTAGTTTAAGTAAGAATTTTATGGCACTTGCAACACAATAGGGTCATATAAGTGCCGAAGATTAGAGGTGTTACAAGAGAGTAACAAACACAAAATAGAAGGAGGGGCGATAAGGACGATAGATGTTTGATAGGAAAGAAGGAGCAAACCACACCACAGCACCCGCCAACCACCCACGGTTATAGTTATCATAAGCACACCTGGAACACAAAATCCATGATGAAGCAGCCTTCCTCGTTGACAGAGTACAGCTGCTCCCGTCTCTGAGCTTCCTGGCGGCTGATGATTTCTCCTTCGTACTCCAAGACAAAAGAGTCCTTCTTGAGAACGGGGACACGAAGAAACACACCCCTACCCTTCTCGCCATCTTCTTTGATCATGAAACGAGCCTTCACATCATCTGGGTGCTCCAGGAGTCCCTGCGTGAGCTTTTCCACACGAGTCAACTTGGGCGCCCTGAACTTTCGAGCTGAGGGAAGAAAAAAAAATGTCCATTGTTTATCAATAAATATAGGGATCAAAATTTTAACATTCCAGTTAAGTACAAAAAGTTTTTACATTTCGGCAAAATATGTGAGGCGTGCTGACAAAATGAGTTACTTCTCGCAATCCATGAAAGGAGATGTCAAACAAAAACTGACACAAGGGTCACTTTTGTAGATTCTAAACCAATGCCATTCTCTTCAAGTTCAACATGTCTTTTATGATATTTCAGACTAATAAATTGTAAAAATTAAACCTATAAATTTGATGTATCTTTTTCCATCGGGCTAAAATCTGAGAAGTAACTCATTTTGGCAGCACACTTCACATATAGACTAAAAAATATAATTCTTTACAATCATACATTATAACTGAGTACCAAGAATCAGAGGACAGTAATATATCGAAGAATTCTGCCATACAGTTACAGTCATAGGAGTTAAAACACAAATATGAATACAAAAGAAGTTACAAGAAAACAGGAAATACTAAGTTATTTTTAGTATGAAAAAAAACACAGTAGTAGAAAGGACAGCATCAGTATATGATATGTGAGGCAGCGTGGTGGAATCAGGCTCTCGTCAATATTTGGGCGTGTGGAGTTATTGGTATCACCTTAAAGCTTGTTCACTTGTCTTTATTTGGATATAAAAAAAATATCCATTTATCTTGAATACAAGTCGAGGTATTTGCAAATGAAGGAGGTGGGGGTCAACTGTTTTCAGAAGTAACATTAGTGAGAAAATGGCCGCCAAAGATTAGTTATTTCCTTAGCTTAAGAGTCTGTGGTAACTGAAAATTTACATTTTTTGTGCCTTTAATCAACGTTTTTCAGAAAATTCCATACAAAAATGAGTTCTTTAATGGGCATGAAAGGTGTTGAGCCAAAACACAAAAATTTGAAAAATATTCACAAACCTTTGGAAAAATGCAAGTTTCTTCACTTTGATTATTTTGACGAGAGCCTGATTCCACCACGCTGCCTCACATATAATATCATCAGTGAAAAGGAACACATTCACAGAAAGAAGATTCCCATAAATTGTTAACAGTATGGTTTCATGAGGGTAAGGACAGAATCGATTATTATGTCTTCTACTTTGCACTGCGGTCACACTCTATAGCCTACCTTTTGCTACAGATTGTGGCAAATTTCTACAAAGGGGGCTTACATGCAGTACGTCAGGAAAGAGAGTTTGTTTTAGTAAGAGTTTTATGGCACTTGCAACACAATAAGGCGTAAGGTCATATAAGTGCTGAAGATTAGAGGGGTTACTAGAGAGTAACAAACCCCCCCCCCCAAAAAAAGGAGGAAAGATCAGGACGATAGACGTAAAATAGGAAAGAAGGAGCAAACCACAAAAAGATAGAACAAACAAACAAATCGACCAGGAAAAATTGCAGTGCAAGTGTTCAACCCCACCAAAGCCGGTCAGACATTCTATGTGGGCCTCCCAAGAGATTTCCTCAATGACAAGCTTGACTGGGATCAAAACTGATCACGTACAAGAAACTGTGCCCTCGTTTTCATTTCCAGTGAGGAATCTGGGTCAGGGATGGCCTCAGAAGTCAAGATTTACTTTCAAGGCCACACCCATTAAGCGTAAAAGAACATGAGCACCAGGAGGTTGTTAAGTTTACAGAAAGTTGAACCAAATGGGCAGCTACTTTTGGTGACGAATGGGAACAGGACAAGGTTCAGGATTAAAACATCACTCAAGTTTGTCACTCTATACTTACATTTCCTGCCTTCCATGGTGCTTCCTTCTCAAATGTGCCCACATCAGATAACTATCGGCAAGAAACATAAAACAAGACATTCTAAGCAATGTTGATATCACAGGAAAAACAACACTAAAATATCAAGAAAGATCTTTCTCATAGCACAGAAGTATTCAATATTAAACTGACCCCTAGATATCAGAAAAGTATCTTACACATTACAAAAAAACGACTCAGTAGCAAGTTAGTTTAGTTCATGTTGGGAAAAACTTAAGTGTGCTTTGCCTGTACGTAGAGTAAATCTGTTTGGCTACCACAAAAGAAGTGTTGCTTATAGACATTACTATCAAATTGTATGATTAGATCATGAGACATGATGTGGTTTACTATCATGAGACATGATGTGGTTTACTATCATGAGACATGATGTGGTTTACTATCATGAGACATGATGTGGTTTACTATCATGAGACATGATGTGGTTTACTATCATGAGACATGATGTGGTTTACTATCATGAGACATGGTGTAGTTTACTATCATGAGACATGATGTGGTTTACTATCATGAGACATGATGTGGTTTACTATCATGAGACATGATGTGGTTTACTATCATGAGACATGATGTGGTTTACTATCATGAGACATGATGTGGTTTACTATCATGTGTGTTGGGTTCAGCAATCGAAAAAGGGAAACAATTATAGGCGTCTTCGACTTACAAAGTGGTCGCATAATACTGGACACAAAAAGCCTTTCTGCTAGTGACATCTCCAACGAGCACAGCAGTTTTGTTTTATTGTGCTGTGATCTCATTCAGCCACTAGTAGCTCTGACTGTGGAATTACACACAAACATGTACGTTACAGGACAGTAGAGCAGTAACAACTAGTCTTGGCTTACATAAACGTTGACACCAAATTCTACTCACCTTAGGCACATCACACTGTCGGCCACGGTCAGAGAGACCCCATACTTTTGATTGGAAAGGCTTTTCTTGAGATCTGTCTCTTCAACACTTTGCCTGCACATAGAAAAGGTATTATTTTGTTACTGCATTAAAATAATTTCAAGAGCACACTACTACCTGCTTTTTACAGTCGAGACTGTTGCGACACATATTGTGCTTTTTTTGGAGATAACATTATATCTAGAAATACAGTCTAAGACAAACATGATGACAGGTTTTACATACATATACAGACCTGCCACTCTATGAAATCTAAAAATCAGGATTTTAGAGTAAAAAAATCAGGACCTGGTGAAAAAAATCGGGATCAACGGCAAATCAGTGATAAGGGGCATTGGGGAGGGGGGGGGGTCATGGTTCCCCTTCATGGGGCAAGTATGCAAGACAAAACTTTTGAAGGAATAATTTCACGTTTGGGCATCTAAATAGAGAGAAAACTGAAAGACAGCATAATATGTACTCGAGTCGGAGTTGGATAAACTGGGGGAGCAGTAATGCTGAAACTCTCGTAGTCTTGAAAACAGATGGCACATAACTCTAATCATCCATGCAAAAAGCCCGCGTTGTCATACAGTAACAACGTTTGACTTCCATCGCATATTCACTCAAGGCATCTCCCACACCCCCGCCCCGCAAAAAAAAAATCTCGCCAAGGTTGTTCATTTATTTATTTTTTGTTATTCCTTTCCCCTCAATTAGCACCTGTATCACGGCACACACTTTAAGCCCAAGTGAAAAAAAAAATACCCCCCCCCGGTTAAGTCCCCAAAACACCTCGACCAATGCGACCGGTGTGAATGAACTTTGTTGACCTCGACAGCCAACGGTCCCCGACACACGCACTACTCACACGTACGAGGTCAGGTCACGTGATGCGAATGAGTGTTTGAAAGTTTCACTGACATGTTTTGATGATGGGCCCGAATAACCAGTACCCAGATAAAGCTTGCTTTTATTACTTTTAAAGCAACGGCTGAACAACGAATAGATTATTCTGAGGCCCATGTCATAATTGTTACATACAGTAATCAGGACACCATCGGACAATTCTGGGTTATAAAAGCGAAAGTAGATCTTGAGCGTATCCAAGTCGGAATTCAAAATTGATACTACGTCGATTTTAGTTGAAATACCGTGGGTGAGTCTACTAGATTCGGTATAGATGCTTTAGAAAATAGCGTTCCAAGTTCCTGCCGATAAAAAATCCAATCGGTGCTTCCAAGCAAAAGAGACTGCAAAACTTTTTATATTTTTTTCTAAGAATCGGATGCAACAGACGCAACGAAAAAAATCAGGATACTGGCGATCGAAATCGGGAAAATCGGGATGTTTGAGATTTGGGGCAAAAAATCGGGATATCCCGATTAAATCGGGATGAGTGGCAGGTCTGCATATATAGGTCAAACGCTAACTGATGATAACTGAGATCATTTGTGAGGCGTGCTGACAAAATAAATGAATAACTTCTCGCAATCCACAAATGGAGATATTGGCCAACTATTGATGCCAGGTCCAGTCTCAGTCTGTCTAGAGCAGGTTTGACTGTTTATAAATGAGTCATGAAATATTACACACCCGTCTCTTTCAAACATACACACTGTACTGCTTTCTTTTTTACTTCACCGGCAAAACGACCCCCAACTTACAGTATAACTTAACACCAATAGAGGTAGAACATGGAAGACTCCAAACCACGCTTCCGTCAAACTAGGTCTGTGGTCCTGTTTTTGTTTCTTCTTTATCTTCGTAAGATACCCCTCGAACTACGGATACCTCTTATCGTGTAACTATCGAGGCCGGTCCTGACGAATTCAAGCTATACTATCCGTGTTATACTACATTCATATTTTCATTCAACCAAAATTAAGATTTTGAGAGTAATGTACCAAAAGTGACGGGTAGAATAAATAACCATTATATCCAGTCGACCTACACAGGAAACGACCTTACACTTTTACTCTAACAAAATCATAATTTTTTTTCATACCTATCAAAGGGAAGGACTTCCGTAACGAGCAACCACCCCAACAAACACAATAAAGAACAGACCTAACCCAGACCTTACCCATAACCAAAGCCTAAACCCTAACCTTGACCCTAACCCTACTGCCCTAACCCGCTTCAATCCTAAACCTCTGTTCTATACAGATTTCATTCTCTGATTTTCTAGTGGTCGCTCGTTTTTTAATTCCTCCCCCATCAAAATCTGCAAGGGCAATTGAGAACACTTATTAAAATAATCTTTTACAAAATGTCCTTTTAGGAAAAATATGCACTTCTATACTATATATAGGGTTAAATGCTATTCTTAAAAATATGATTTGGGAATGCTTATTCAAAAAATATTATAATACTAGATCTAGATCTATAGTCTACAGCAACTTGATTTAATGTTGTCATTTTGGCAGTAATTTTGTGGTTGGGCACTGACGAACTATCATCCACACAGAATACTGGATATCGATACTGATTTAAATTCGGTATCGATATTTTATCAGCAGCCTACAAACAAAATGAGCAGTAAAATTTACATATGAGGCTGCAGCGAGCGCCTAGCACACCTCTGCGATTGGCCCAATTACATAGAGAAGACGTATTTCCGCCATGTATTTTTGTCATTTTCCAGGGTTTCCCCCAAGACTCTTGGGTTTCCCTCGCCAGTAACTGTAAACTAGATCTTGCCATCTTTGCTTTTTTTGTGTATTAATTTATGTTATCTCTAAACAACCTCAGCAATTCACGTTCCACAAATATTTACCTTCTCTCCTCAAAGCTGTACACACATTTGTAAACACACGCATACACATACAAGCGCACAAACACACACACAAGCCAGCGCGCACACACAGCCCAAGCAGTTGGCGATGAAACCTAGACAGATCTAGTGACATAGCCCATCGCGCGTTAAGCGGCAAAGCAGGCCCGCCAGGGTGAGATCTAGAATCTAGACAACTGGCGAGGGAAGCCCCGGAAAAAGAAAAAAATAATAGATGGCCGAAATACGTCATCTAGAATCTATATTTGGGCCAATCACAGAGGTGTACTAGGTTCATGTGTAAAATTAAAATTTCCCTTTTTTTAACAAGGCATGGTCAACTTGCCCCCCCTGACCTAAATCTAACAAAAACATGGGGGGTGGGGTTCTGGGACAAGCCAAGTGGATAATTAGAGAAAGTCGGGAGTACACCATTGGCCGATATTTATAGTAACACCACTAGATCTAGATCTAGAATCTATATCTTGTTTGACATCATTGAGGGATTCCCACTTTGTTGTCAGTCATGAAGTGGCAACACGACCGCACGACGGCAGCCTGCCGACTCGGATTAGGCCTAGATTCTAGATCAAGACTAAATCTATTTTCTTTGCAACTTGCAGAACTGTTCGGTTCGGTTGTCTGTGATTGTGCATTACCCTTCTTCCGCCCAGATTGATTCTGATGCTGTACATTTTATATGCTCATAGATGTAAATAAATTGAGAAGAAGTTGACAATAGAGAGTAGGCCTACTAGATCTAACATCGAAGTGGCTAGCCGTACTTAGACTTAGATCTAGGTTTGGCCCAATCGATTCAAGCCTGTTTAGTACACAGGTCTCATTAGTAATTATTCAGGTTCAAATACATGCAAGTCAGTAAGGCACCTTTTGGTTTTGTCTGAAATACAATTACAAATACTTTAGGCATTGCAAACTAAGAATTTCATTTATAATTCAGCCATCAATATTAAGTACGGCTAGCCTGACAGTCTAGCCGTCCTCATGGGTCTCAACTCAGAATTCCAAAAAAGGAGGAACTTTCCAGGAGATCGCCACAGAAGCCTATTTTCGCGAAACACCCATTATTATTATACTGTTGAACCCTAGAATGCTGAAATAAAAACCATCAATTTATCAAAGCAAGGTTATTTCACACTAATTTGAGAGTTTGGAAGATAATTTCAAGTAAGAGTCACGTACCAAATATTTACAATCTTGATTACGTACAGAAAGTGGTGGCGCCTGGGGGTCTTGTGCGACTTATTAATATGGAAAAGGCTAGCCGTACTTAATGACG